TACCTTTTAAGGATGAAGGGAGTTTGTAGGGAGATTTGATGAGCTGAGCTTGACAGGATTATGGAGGGTAAAGAAGAATTTTCAGAGTAAGTTCGCCAGATCCTGAAAATATCATCTTTTCAGATTACAGCTCCCATAATCCCCCATCCGTCTGAGCTAGTGGCCATGCTGGCTGGGGGCTGCTGAGAATTGTACTGTAGTAAAAAAAATAATATTTCTAAGCTCGACCCCAAAGTGCATTTGACTCATGGATTTAATTGCCCCACCATGTGACAATGGTGATTGGGGTAGAAGAGTGCTAGAGAATATCATGAAACCTAAAAGATCTCAAAGACACGTGCAGTGGTTCCCAACCTTGGGTCTCCAGATATTATTGGACTGCAAATCCCAGAAATATTGGCCAGCACAGCTTGTGGTGAAGGCTTCTGGGAGTTTGAGTCCAAGAACATCTTGAGGTCCAAGGTTGGCAACATTTGAGCTAGATGGGGTAGAAGAGTGCTAGAGAATATCATGAAACCTAAAAGATCTCAAAGACACGTGCAGTGGTTCCCAACCTTGGGTCTCCAGATATTATTGGACTGCAAATCCCAGAAATATTGGCCAGCACAGCTTGTGGTGAAGGCTTCTGGGAGTTTGAGTCCAAGAACATCTTGCGGTCCAAGGTTGGCAACCTTTGAGCTAGTGGCATTTCCCTGTGTGCCTTTATTTAAATCCCAGCGATGCCTCACTGGCCACAATAAGAATCAGACTGCTGGGCTAGAAGAAGGACCCCGAACCGAAGGGGAAGAAAAGAGACTTTGCCAAGAAACACTTGAAGAAAGTTCTTTAAATAAAGAAATAAATCCAGCAGGGCTTTTAGAGACATCCTGGCTCATGCTATATAGTTGGAACTACATATTACCCAGGTTGAGCGAATACTGAGTCATTCAGTACACTGTTCTTCCCTTATTAAAAAAGAATCAGACTGCTGGGCTAGAAGAAGGACCCCGAACCGAAGGGGAAGAAAAGAGACTTTGCCAAGAAACACTTGAAGAAAGTTCTTTAAATAAAGAAATAAATCCAGCAGGGCTTTTAGAGACATCCTGGCTCATGCTATATAGTTTGAACTACATAGTGCCACAGGTTGAGCGAGTACTGAGTCATTCAGTACACTGTTTTTCCCCTATTAAGTGTAATTGTAATTAATGGAATTTCAGAAGGATAGAAGGCTGAGTCAACCTTGAGCCGGCTACCTGTACAGCGATTTAACCACTGCGCCACGAGGCTCCATCAATTACATTAAGTGTAATTGTAATTAATGGAATGTATACCAGGTGAAGAGGAAGGAGTATTATGGTGAAGCAGCCATTGTGAAATAGTCTAGCTGACAATATGTAGTAGAAGGAAACTTTGCACCATCAGCCATCAAGCCTCAGAAAGAGCAACTGAAACAATCTCGCAATCTAAAACAATGTACAGCTTATTAAAATTATAACCCTTTGTCTAAACAGGCAAACTCAAGTTCTTTGAGAAACTCTAATTTCAAGGATTTGGGGGAGGGGAGATCCCTGAGACCAGGCACAAATGCCTACATAATACAGTACTGTTAAATTAAAATGAGCATACTGATTTTTGGAAAGTATTTCATTTTTTGATATCACCCAACAATGCCAGTAGATATCAGAATATTCTGGAATGAGCAGAGCATTCAAGCTGGCAGGGAGTGGGGGAAGTGTGAATCAAGATCCAGTGGATATTTCTGCTGGATCTGGCAATTTATTTATTTATTTATTTATTTATTTATTTATTTATTTATTTATTTAGTTAGTTAGTTAGTTAGTTAGTTAGTTAGTTAGTTAGTTAGTTACAGTAGTTAAAATATTTTTGTCCCACCTTTCTCCTTAAAAGGACCCAAGATGGCTCACATCATTTAAATAGAGTATTTAAATGCTAAAAATAGTAATTCTACAAATATTTAAAAAGAATTAAACAAGTATTCTATTAAAATGGCAAATAAAATCAGTATTAAAACACATTTAAAACAGCAGAGCACAACAATCCATTTAAAACCCCTCTCTGACCACCAGTCAGTAAGGAAAAGCCTGCCTGAAGAGAAAGGTCTTTGCCTGCTTGCGAAAGGACAACAAAGATGGGGCCAGCCTGGACTCCAGTGGGAGGGAGTTCCAAAGTCTGGGAGCAGCAACAGAGAAGGCCCTGTCTCCTGTGTCCCCAACAAACACACTGTGAGGGTGGTGGGACTGAGAGAAAAGCCTCCCCTGATGATCTTAATGCCCAGGCAGGCTGATAGAGGGAGATGTGGCCTTTTGGATAGCTTGGACCCAAGTCGTTTAGGACTTTATAGGTTAAAACCAGCACTTGGAATTGTGGCTGGAAATGGATCGGCAGCCAGTGGAGCTGCTATAACAGAGGAGTTATATGTTTCCTGTAACTAGCCCCAGTTAACAACCTGACTGTAACATTTTGGAGCCTTTGGAGTTTCTGAACAATTTTCAAAGGCAGCCCCGCATAGAGCATGTTACAGAGATGTAACTAGGGCATGTGTCATGGTGGCCAGATCAGACCTCTCAGCTTCTGTCGAAATGAGCAATCTCCTCCATCCTGCAGCCCTTCTTGTGCTTGGAGCATAGCAGTGCCCTCCAAAAAAATGCCCTGGGAACCAATTTTGTCTCCTCCTTATAAATAACAATAATACTTATGTGCCATCAAGTCAATTCTAATTTATGGCAAGCCTTTCCAGGATTTTCTAGTGTACTCAGAAGTCATTGACCACTCCCTTCCTCTGAGGCTGCTCTGGGACTTCACAGTTTGCCCAAGATTAGACAGCCTGGCTCATCCTGCAGGAGGCACAGTGGGGAATTGGACTCTCAGTGTCTGATACCCAGCTCACGAAGCTATCCCGCCAGCTCCCTCTCTCCCTATTCAAACTAAATCTAGAGCAGATTTTTGACACTATGAAGGATAACCACAGGAGAGTTGGGGGGGGAGAAAGTCCTAATTCTCCTGGTGTTTGGTATTCAAATCTTGTCTTCGATCTTTTTCCATTTAGTCCATTAGTTCATTATACAGTGGTGCCCCGCATAGCGATGATTAATCCATTCCGGATTAATCATTGCTATCCGGAAACATCGCAATGCGGGGGGAACCCCATTCCAATGGGGCGAAAACTCACCGTTATGCGAAGATCCTCCATAGCGCCGCCATTTTCGCTGCCTCGGTAAGAGAAGAAATCGTGCAAAAATGGTTGCAGTGGCCATTTTGCGCACCCGGTGGCCATTTTGGAACCGCCGATCAGCTGTTCTGCATACATTGCAATGCGAAGATTGGTAAGCGAAATGCTTACTGATCATCGCAATGCAATGTTTAGGCTATTAAAACATTGCAATGCGATCGCATTAGCGATCCCAAAAAATAGATCACTATGTGGATTCGTCATTAAACAGTGTGCTCGTTATGCGAGGCACCACTGTACTTCTAGGACACAGTCTTTCAGTAATTATCTGTAACTGAATTGAGCCATACTAAACCCAATGGAGCTCACAGGATAGCTTGGTGGTTTAGGGATCTGGCTGCAGAGCCAGAGGTTGGGAGTCCGATTCCCCACTGTGTCTCTTGCAAGAAGAGCCAACCTGTGTAGCCATGGACAAGATGCACAGTCCCAGTGTTTTCTCAGAAGAAGGGAATGGTAAATTGTTTGTGAGCGATCTCTACCTATGAAACCCTGAGAAGCTTGGTAAAAGGTAAAGGTAAAGGTTCCCCTTGACATTTTTTGTCCAGTTGTGTTCGACTCTAGGGGGCGGTGCTCATCCCCGTTTCCAAGCCATAGAGCCAGCGTTTTTTGTCCGAAGACAATCTTCCGTGGTCACATGGCCAGTGCGACTTAGACACAGAACGCTGTTACCTTCCCACCAAGGTGATCCCTATTGATCTACTTGCATTTACATGCTTTTGAGCCGCTAGGTTGGCAGGAGCTGGGACAAAGCGACAGAAGCTCACTCCATCACGTGGATTCGATCTTACGACTGCTGGTCTTCTGAACTTGCAGCACAGAGGCTTCTGCAGTTTTACCCACCGTGCCACCACGCCACGTGAGAAGGGTGGCCTTAAGTCAAAAATGACTCAACGACATATGATTATTTATCGTTTTTTCTTAGACCCAATATTGCAACCTTAAATTATCGTTACACTGTAGGATTTGAATACAGAGATCATATGCTTTTTGGGTCACAGAACTGCCACCCATATTAAGTAATCATTAATGTTTCTTTTGCAGTGTAGAATAGAGATGGGCACAAACTGCTGGTTTGGTGGATCGTACCAGTTCGTCCTTTGGAGAACAGGTGTTTGGGCATTCCCCAGGCCTGCCTCCTCCAGCAGGCAGCCACTCAGAGGCAGTGCCTGGAGTAGGCAAAGTAGGGAAGCCATTGCGCTGCCTTTGACTGGGCGCTCCCTAGAGGAAGCAGGATTGGGGAAGTAGGGAAGCCATTGCGCTGCCTTTGACCGGGCGCTCCCCAGAGGAAGCAGGATTGGGAAGCACCAAACACCTGTTTGTCCAAAGAAAGAACTATCTCCCTTCTGCACTATCTCTAGTGCAGAAGGGAGGGGATTGGAGAGCAGAATTTATGAAAGAAAAATAGGTTTGTTGACAGATACCTAACTCATTGTTTGCTTATGCAGTCCACAAACTAACAAACTTTTCCAAGAAGATGAAAGCCAGCCATCCTGCTGAGATGGAATGGTTAAAAGAGCATATATGGAGGTTGTAGCAGCCCATCTTTATTTATCTCAATGTACACTTGGTATTTTTATCCAGAGACTGGCAGTAATTTACTTTCAGTCCCTGTGACAAATTGAATTTCTGCTCAGGACCAGGAAAGGATCATTTTTCTTTTCCTTTCATGCTGAAATAAGCAGCAATGCATGAGAAATGTTCCATCACTTCTTTAGTATATGAAATAACAATGAGCCGCCAAGAGCCAAACTTAATATATCTGGGTACTTACAACACTGTTCCGGTGGCTTTTCTTATGATTTTAAACTGAATAGATGAATCACTGACAAATTCGATGTCATAGCTGGTGTCCTCAGCAGCAAGAGGTGGGGATTCAATCTTGAGGGGAACTTCAAACCGAAGGTTGTTCGGATCATAGATCTGTTTCCAAATCGGAGATGAAAAATAAATAGCAGATTCTCCTAAGACCGTAAGGAGAGCCCTTGCTGGATTAGACCTGTGTGAGGGGTGGTCAACAGAGGCTATTCTGATACTATTCAACAGCAACTTACATCACCCCTCTCCATTAACTATGTTAATTAGGGATTATAGTAATTGTAGTCTTACATATGGAAGGCTATAGTTGCCTGGATATGTTCTATAAGACCCCATTTCCCACATTTACCAACACAGATGTCCATCAGAACTCTGTAAACAAGGCCTGAGGGTGGTAGCACCCTTCTGTTCATCTTCCCCAGCATACTGCCTCTGGTGCTAGAGGTAATACATAGCCATTATGTCCAGTAAGTATTGTTGTTTGTTGTTTAGTCGTTTAGTCGTGTCTGACTCTTTGTGACTCCATGGACCAGAGCACGCCAGATTACTCATAGCCTTCTCCTTCATGGCTGGCTGCTATGACATCACTGATATCAATGATATGGTTTTTCTTCCTTTCTCTCACCTTAAACCTGACTCTGTCTTTTGTCTGAAATTCCACATCCACTGCAATTTGAGAAATGTCATTCCCATAGGGCGAAGCGGCCCCGTGTCTCGAGAGACGCAACCTGAAAAACAGGCACAGTCATTTTTTAATTCATGCCATATTGTGTGCAAAAAAGACAGATACAATGAAACAGAGGGGAAAAGACTGGCCATCTCAACCCTTAGCAAACAACATATTGAAACAAAAGAATATACACCACTGCTTTAAGTCACTTGTGCAAAGTGGTCTATAAAGCAATTTGCGGTCAACTCATGCAGGGTGGAATTTGAATCCAGGCTCATCAAGGCCAGGACCAAGTTCTCTTTGCAAGACTTAAGAACTGAGCTGCTCCTTTGAATGGATGGTGCTCCAATGAGCTGGGGAAAGCCTTTGAACGGACCATGCTCCAATGAGCTGGGAAAAGAGGTTCATTCCTACTCTGTAACCTTTTGTTCATTCAAGTAACTGTATTGTGAAAATCAAACGGCACATGATGTCATGGGCCAGCGTGAATTCCTAGAGCAAACTTGTGTTCATTTGTTGCACCCAGAAATCACACAGATCACTACACCCATGCGATGTTGCACTCCACTTTTCCTCAACAGCGTCCTGTCCCTTGTTATTACAGTTAAGCATCACATAGCCACTAATGTGTTCTATTGAAAGTTCTACTCTCTTGACACTTAGAATTGAATTGTAAGCTGCTGTTCCTAAAAAGATTCCCGCCATGAGCAGAAGGGACTCAGATCCAGTGGGAATTTCTGGTGGGGAGGGAGTTGGTTTTCATTAATCCTCTCTCCTCTCTTTTTTTGTCATGGCATTCCCCCCCCCCCCAACCCAGCAGAGCAGATTTAAAGAATGTGAAGGGAAAAGGAGCTGGTAACCTTTGCCTCTTTGACCCTTTTGGTGAACAGATCTCCACTCAGTGAATCTTAGGATCCTACCTTCCACTTGTAATGGTGCTCTATCTAGGGACACCAGTCAGTGTACACATATGCAAAGCTCCATAAGAGCAGAGATTGCTGTTAATAGAAAGGACTCTTCCCTAGACATCGTGCAACATATAAGTGAGCCATTCTCTGAGGTGGAGAAGAATAGGCTATCCCTAGTCACAAGCCACAGTTTTCACAAAAGGAGCTCTTGCTTCAGCAAGAACAGAAACAAAAGCCAAATGCTTTGGTGCCTTTACAACTAACATATTTGTTTCAATTTGAGCTTTCATGGATTACAATCCACTTGGTACTCCTTGCATGCAAACCCTAGGCGTTATGCTTGAAACCTATCCTGTGGCCGTAGCAACAAAAGTACACCAAGAAAGTAGCCCATCTGCCCAGTCACCTTCATTTCCAGATACGAATTGCTCTAGATGATTTCCAATAATTTATCTTGGTTACAGACTCCGCAAAGAGATGGTTATTCTGGGTTTTGCGTTGACTCGTAAACATTTAAATGAGTTTAACTACTGTTTCTCAGTGCAGACGTGTGCAGTGCTTCTTTGTAGAACAGTTACAGGGCAATCAAGGGCCAGGCACGTGGGGTCCCACCCACAATGGTGGAATGAGGTGTCCCTCCCCCATGAAAGTCACAATAAATTAAATAGTAAATATGCAAAGAAGGGAAGGGAAGAAGAAATAATCCATTTCAGGTTACCTCCAGCCCTTTGCTGTCTTTTCAGGTTTTCCAGTCACTGAATAACCAGATGGGCCATCATTGCCTGCAGCACAAGCCTGAGCCAAAACTGAGACAGAAGAAAGAACGTCAACAAATGAAAGAGTGCAAGGGCCAGAATCCTGTTGAGGATACACAAGAGGAGCTGGGCATGCTATTTCCCCCCCTCCAATGAGCTGCCCTTCATGTTTCCGGTCTTACACCACTTGTAGAATTGGGAAAGTCCTTGGCATGCAGTGTTTCCCAAGAGGATCAGGGCCACAATATTTGTGCTTTCTCCCAACTCACAAAGAAGCAGCTAACGTTCTGTAGGTCCCAAACTTGCCATCAAGGGACACAATTTCACAGAGGGGATGCCGGTGGGAGGCAAAAGCTATGTCTAAACATTCTGTGTATTGATCAGATACACCAGTGCTTTTGAAACTTCTGGAATTCGATATTTGATGTGGGAGATATCCATGCCTGCCTTTCCCTCACTTCCAAGTCACTCTTGACAGAAAGGTCAATGGATGACATTGGCCAAGTCCCCGCAGCATCACAGGGACAATGGCAGAAGCCTTGGTCCCACTCCAGCAGCCTCCCTTTGCCTGTCTGATCTCACACTGCTTGCAAGATGGGTTGCATAACAGAAGGCCTGCAGGAATGGGGAGATGCTTGCATGATCGTCCGGACCCTCTCAATAGGACACTGGCCATTGTCTCTGACTGCTTTTTCAGTTGGAATGAGGGAAAGGCCACCCAGAAATCAATTACTTAAAGGAAAGGAAACCAAATTAATTCCTTGCTGGGTGTTACTACACAGCTATTGTTATGCTTCTGGAAGTTGTGCCCCTGCCATTATCTGCATTTAATTTAGCAGTGTAGCACGCTGGTTATTGTCTTTATGAGGAGCAAGCATGTTGATACTGCATAAAGATTAAATTCCACATGAGGCAACTATAGAGGTGAAGGTATCATTTGCAGAAACCTTCCTAACAATTTTAAAACTAGACATTATTTCTGGCCATTAGCTCAATGTCCTGGAAACAAATTAACCTATCTATGCAGTTTGTGCCTTCATTAGATTTGTCTGAGTTACACATCTGGCTGCAGAGTCAGATGCTGGGAGCTATCTTCTTCACTGGGAGCAGAGCCAGCCTGTGTGGCCTTGGGCAAGCGGCACAGTCCCTGGATGCCCCCAGAAGAAGGGGATGGTCAGCCACTTCTCAGTACTTTCTACCCAGAAAACACTGGAAAGGGTTGCCGTAACTGAGAATTGCCTTGACAGCACATAATAATAATAACAATAATTATTATTCTGTAGGTTTCTGGCATGTGCAATTTTTCAGTACAGTCTATAAAGCGATTCACCTGCCCAGCTACTTACATAAGGATTATACATTCAGATGAACACACCATCAGTATGGATTTAGCGTGTGTCTGCATTAGAGAGTGAGAGCAGTTTGATACCACTTTGTCTCTCATGCCTCTATCTTGTGGGAGCCTGGGCTTTGTAGTTTAATGTACTTGGATATTTATGTTAGAAAGCTCCAGAGATTGCCACTGAACTGTGCCAAAGAATTCCAAGTAATTGAACAAACCAGAAGTCCCAGTGTCCTGTAGGGAGGAACCTGGCAGAAGGCCAGAATCCTGGTGCACAGCTCCGCCTGTATGACAGGAATGATGTCACCAACAGCAGCAGATGGCTGCTGCTGCTGCTGCTGCTGCTGCAAGACTTCCTTTTTCAGTATCAAGCAACGAGACAAACTTCAGTCCATTCTACAGCTGAAAATGGAAGTCTTTAATCACTGTACTGTCAGGAGCCACCACTCCCAATACGATTTCACTGCAAGTGATGATTGAACTGGTGTATAAACCTGTAATGGAGATACGCTCTACTACACTGATGTGAAGGATAAGAGACCCCCTGAGTCAGGCAGGCCAGTAGCACAAACCATGAATATATCTTGGCTAGGACACTGAGCCTGAATCCATTAACAAGGGATCCTCAAACCTAGTGACTCCCCAGCTGGGATGCGCCAGTGACTGCAGCATTCAGCAATGATGACTCCTGCTGTGCCTAATGGATTGCCAACTGTGCTTATAGTTGCAGAAGACAGTAATGCCTGATGAGAGGCAATGGTGAAGCCCAGCAACCCCACCGGGCCAGGCATAAGAAATTAGGCTTATAGAGAATATAAGAATCTATCCTGAGGAAAGCTACCTTTTCAGACTATAGCTAGCAGAAGCTCTCAGCCAGCAAACTCAGGCTGAGAGCTGTAGTAAAAACAAGTAACTTTTCCAGCTGCTGCTAAGAAGCCAGTTTCCACCATAGTCATTGGAACAAGCTGTCTGTTCTATGGGATCTGTCCAGGCTGTTAAAGGTCTGCTTCCCACCCACCCAAATTTCCTGGCTGCATCTTTAAACAGAGTTTTAAACTATTGGTTGGATTTAACAAAAAAGGTATTGTTGATTATTTTGGTTACAAAAAACCTTTGAAGAGGAAAATGACAAATATCACCTTACATGACCTCCTTCAGATTAGGCATCCTTCAGTCTCAAGAGACTATGGTAACATGCTCTGTATGGAGGACTTGGAACAGTGTCTAGTGTAGCTGAGAAGGCCAATTTGAGAGTGACAATCTCTCCAAACTGAAGACAATCTACCCCTTGTCCAGTTCCCTGGTTTTGCTAGTTCTGGGACTGCCTCTTTGCATTGACCTGCTTGACAAGGGTCTCTTCAAATTGAGAGAGGCTGTGATGCAACACCTGCCTCCAGGCTGAATGCTCTAATGTCAGGGTTTCCCATCTGTTGAGGTCCATTCCTAAGGCCTTCAGATCCCACTTGCAGATGCCCTTGTATTGCAGCTGTGTTTTCCCTCTGGGACGATTTCCCTGCACTAATTCTCCATACAGGATATCCTTTGGAATCCGACCATCAGCCATTCTCACGACATGCCCAAGCCAACGTAGACATTGCTGTTTCAGTAATGTATATATGCTAAAAATTCCAGCTCATTCTAGGACTACTCTATTTGGAACTTTGTCCTGCCAGGCGATACTAAAAATGCGTTGGAGGCAACACTTATGGAAGGTGTTCAGCTTCCTCTCCTGCTGTACATAAAGGGTCCAGGACTCACTGCAGTACAGGAGTGTGCTCAGGACACAGGTTCTATAGACCTGGATCTTGGTATGTGTCATCAGCTTCTTATTGAGCCATACTCTCTTTGTGAGTCTATAGAACATGGTAGCTGTTTTGCCAATGCGTTTATCCAGCTCGACATCTAAAGAGAGAGTGTCAGAGATTGTTGAGCCAAGGTACACAAAGTCATGAACAACTTCCAATTCTTGTGTGGAGATGGTAATAGAGAGAGGTGAGTCCACGCCCTGGCCCATGACTTGTG